TATATATAGATAATATAATATAATATAATATAATATAATATACTATAATATAATATACTATACTATAATATAATATAATATAATATAATATAATATAATATAATATAATATAATATAATATAATACAATAAAATATATCATATTATAATATATTATAATATATTATATTAATAATACATTATAATACATTATAATATATTATAATATATTATAATATATTATAATGTAACATAATATGATATAACATAATATAGTAAAATACAATATGACAGGTTCTTCTCTATCATATTATATCCTAGCCTATCCTATCATATCATACCATAACATATCATCTGGTTCATATACTATAGTATAACATACTCCAGCGGACCATACCAAAATAGATCATGGTAGTGATTCCCCTGCCAGCTGCCGGGCCTCCTCCCGAAAGACTTCAAATCGCTCCCCCATCCAAGGGGAGAATTCTTTGATCAGAGCCTCATGAAGGTTTAGGGTTTAGGGTTTAGGGATGAGCGGATGAGAAGACTTCTTTGAGTCTTCGGTGAAGATCTTTTGGGGGGTTTAGTGCTTAGTGGGAACTTCAGGTCCTAGGACCGCCTTCTCCTGCGTGCATCTCGAGGCACGCCGATATCTGATCGAAGAATACACATCACCTCCGATCGCATCTCACACCTTGCGCTGTACCTCGGAGAAGGCTGTGCGAGACTCAAGGAAGGAGGACGAGTTCCCAAGAATGAGTCTGCAAGAAGCTTACATGCTGTTCGTGTGTTGTTCATGCAAGCCAGTAACTTCAGAGAGCCCAAGGGCAAGGATCATTGTGTGTCATCGTGTGTACCCCTTCGTTTGTTTGAGTGCAGCCGAACTGCATGCATTGTGGAGGCTTCTCATCCCACTTTTCGACAGGATCACACAGGCAGGATTCTCCAAAATAAGCTGGCGCCTGACGTCGCAGGAAGGCAAGTCTGCAAACAGTCAGCTGCAACATCCGCGTGCGGCCACTGCCTCGATGCTCATGCTGCAGACAATCGGTTGTGATGTCAGCCTGCCATGGAAGGACGAACCCGACTCGCTGCTCGCGAATGGCACGGATAGTGCTCCGATTTGCAAAAAAACGTGCCTCACGCGAAAATCAAAAGACAACACTTCGAAGGATAAGGATGGCAACACTCTGCCCTCAATGTGAAGCCAACGGCTTGACAGTAAACTCCACGCGAACTCCGATCACACCCTCCTCCCAATGTCACATGCATTCTTGAGCTTCCAATCCGAAGTGCTGGAACAGCGATAAAGATTGCGCTTCACGTCTGGCCTGGCTCTCCTGGCCCTCCTTAGTTGAAGCGTCTGTTCTTTCACGACATGCTCTGACATTTAGGGCCTCGGGATTTAGGGTTGTTGTGCATTCTTGTGCCGAGAATGTGCAAGACTTGCTGGAAGCTCAAACTTGTTCAATGCTGGTGAGCGGCAGCTTCTGGCGCCAGCGCATTTGAATAAAGCGGGCCGCTCTGCGCTGGCGGCAGTCCTTCTGAAGTTGAGATTTGATACTGGTCTGGCTTATGAAGGGTTAGGGTTTAGCTTTAGGGTCTAGGATTAGGATTTGGGTGTAGGGTTTAGGGTTGAAAGTAACCTTCGGGGGAAGTGCCAGTCAGAGCACTGTAAGCAACAGGATCCGGTCCAGACGACACGAGTCAGGCAGTGACCAAAGCACGACAAGTGCACGGGGCGGCAGAGAGAAGTTGACAGAGAAAGAGCCACCAAAGGCTCCTGTTTGTAACTGCCAACTTCGGCAGGCATGACAAAGCTGACGAGAGGACAGGCGGATTTGAAAACTAACCAACAAGCCTCGCAGAAGGGAGGAAGATCATCGCATGAGCCTAACAGCTGCCCCGGCCGCCGCGGGAGTCCTGCACCAGCAGTTGCTCCTGCCGGGGTTCGCAACGGTTGCTCGGTCTTATGAAGGCTCCTACAAGGGCTACGGCAAGGGGCCGCCACAGGCTTGCTATAGCTGCTATGGCTTTAGGAAAGGGGGTTCGTGTCAAAGTACCTGCAAGGAAGCCCCTCCCTTTCAGGGCGCCTCAGCCCTGACGAAGGTCTTGGCGGAAAAGAGGCTGTGAGTTGCATCCACGGTCTTGAATGCCTCATCGGAAAAAGCGCTCTCTGAAACTTGAGACCTCATTTATCAGGAATCGGTGTGGGTGGCCGGGGATGGCCTGCGCTTAAGACTGATGCATGGAGGGCCCTATCTGTCCTTTCTGCATCATCCCCTCAACTGAGTGGAATCAGGAACCTGGCTTCCGGCAGCTGAGATCGGGACGCTGGCATAGGAACTCTGGTTGACGGCCGCATCAATCGCCTTTTGGCGCTTGCGGTGCATCATCGCAGTATGGAGGCCTGGCACCGCGAGACTGTCACATCGGGCAAAGCTCCACGGAGAACACAGTGGAACTGAAGCCAGGCTCAGAGACAGCACGGTACAAACCCTCAATAGGGTTTAGGGTTTAGGGTCCCTAAACATATAAAAGACTTACAACACTGGCAGGCGCTGGCTTCGAAATTCAGGCGATGGCAAGCGGGGAGGCTGGGCACAAGCTAAGCGCACAAAAGTTCAGCTCATGCCATGTGTGACTTCTCGATAGCATCGAAGCACTGTCAAATCTCGCCTGCAGCCCCTAAGATAATATCATACAGTATGATATGTGTATATATATACATATATATGTGTATATATATGTGTGTATATATATACACATACATACATACATACATACATACATACATACATACATACATACATATATATATATATATATTTATATTTATATATTATATNNATATATATGTGTATATATATGTGTGTATATATATACACATACATACATACATACATACATACATACATACATACATACATACATATATATATATATATATTTATATTTATATATTATATATACATATATATATATATATATCGTTACACTATCGCAAATAATGTTATGTTATTGCATATATCCGACCACTGGCCTTCCAGAAACACTTCTCCGTTCGCGTCGTTCGCTCCACGTCGCTTCGCTGCATAGGTCGACCAAATCTCGTCCATCAGCTCCTCGACAAGAGGGGTTTAGGGTTAAGGGTTTAGGGTTTAGGGCTGCTTAAGGTTTAGGGTTTAGGGGTTAGGGTTTAGGGTTTAGGGCTTAGATTCGATTGTCTACACCCAGAAAGACAGAGGTTCCAGTCCATTGAATCAAGCCTCACTCAAGCTAAGTTGTAGAAACACACTCCATGCATCCTCATCAACGGCTCCAGAAGATTTATCAATGTGCATCGTAGGCGGCCCGTGCAGACAAGAGTGCAATCAGCCATGACGGCAGCCGTTGCTTGGTTGCATGCATAATGCCTGGAACTCTATTTCCTCCATCTGCGGCAAAGCTTTCCAACCGAGGCGGTCATGCTTAGGGCTTAGGGTTAAGGCTCGCCTTACTCCGGAACCCCAGGAGTAGACTCTAAACCATCATGTTACGTAAGCTTCTGGTATCTTATAGCACAAATTTGGTACATTCTCGTACATTCTAGTATTCATCATTTAGAATGGATATCCATTACAGTCTGCTATAGCCTATCATGATCGATTATAGTCCATTCTGGAATATTATGCTACATTTTTGCTTAGTCTATACACCCTGAACGGCCCTACGCCCTAAACCCTCGGGCAGGCACTCCAACCGGGCCCTGTCCTCCGAAGCGGGATTTGTCCAGAGGCTTTCATTCAAGGAGATGCGCACTTTGCCCCGCACCAAAATAAAGATCCTTGGTTCTAACGGTGTTAGGGTCTTAGGGCTTAGGGTCACGGTTGTGACGGATATGCAAAGATATGCAAAGAACGGCGAACTAAGAAAGGCGAGCTCTTGGTGCCCTCCGGGGCTAGCACCTGTCGCTGGCTTCTCCGATGCGGATGATGTGATCACCTGCAGCGCAGCAGCTGTGTTAAGAGTAATGATACCAGTGTCTACACAGGTACTGCCTGCAGGCCGCACCGGGGCCTCTACCCGCAGACTAACTTCTTTTCAGGGCGGTAAGCAGATCAGCAAGGCGTGACAAAAAGCACAGACGGGGCACCAAGAAGCGCTTGACGAGGGAGGGGGGGCCACGGAGGGAACCCCAAGCCGACCTAAGAGCAACGCGAAACCAGAACTAGCGAAGGTGAGTGAAGGCGTGGCAGGTAGAGCTGATGTCTATCGCTCTGACGCGCGCATCATGTTCATGCCTTGCGATATCAGAGAGGGATTTAGCAAGAGAAATTCCCCCAATATCCCGAACAAAGCTGAGACAAACAAGAGACCGCCCTTAGCCCCCAAGAGGAGCCCCGCACCTCGCGAGAGCATGCGCATGGAGACTTTCGTCGCCAACTCTTTCAGGCAGACCTGGCTGTCTTTGTTGAGGCACTGCTTGTTCTAGGGCCTGGGGTTTAGGTTTTTGGGTTTAGGGTTTCGTGCCGGGTTGGTTCAGGGTTTCGAAGTTTGAGGCGTTGGACGAAGGAATTCGAACCAGGCCTCAAAGTCGCGCAGGAAGGCCAAAAAGGGCGCATTGCGCAGGACCCGACCGAAGATGTGAAAGCGCAGCTCCCGTCGGAGTACTGGTGTTAGATGATCCTGCCTCAGTAGGGAGGACTAGTGGATTTCAAGGCGAGAGCATCTGACATCATACATCTTGATACACATAGTGAACAGCACTCCGCAAATTAAGTTGAAAGCAGTGATGAAGAGAGAGACGAGTAGCAGCTGATCCTCATACGAGTCGTATCCTTTGTTGGTTTCCCACAAGTGCAAGAGGTGCCGCCGGATGGCCTGCGGAGACAAGCAGCCAGATTGGCTGAAAATATCTGAGAATCACAAAATGGCCAAGCTGTGTGTGGTGGTGATTGTGATGATACTGACCCGAATTAAGGGAAACCTCTAGCCCTTCACCTGCTCTCGAATCCGCAAGCAAGCTAGGACTTGCCAGGCCAGACAACGGCCGGGCTTCGAGCTGTAATGGCCCACCTTGTACAAATGTGGCGGGATGTTTCGCCATGTCCTGGGCAAATCATACGGTTTAGGGTTCAGGGTTTAGGGTGCTTCTCTTTCTGACACGCTCTTGGAGGTGCTCAACTCAATGACAACTGCTGACACATGCAATGCAAACCAGCATCAAGCTAATGAAACGACGTGAGTGGGATTGTGGCATGGTGGAGGCCGGCGGAGGAGGATCAGGTCCCAAAACAGAGGAAGGGGGAGGGTTGAAGGGAACGCGGACGAAGCCACCAGCGAATGTAGGAAAACCTTTAAAAAATAACAAGTCCTCCAGAAGCTCTAAAGAGTCAGAGGCTAGGCCCTGGTCCGTCACCTCGTCCAAATAGTGCAGTACAAACCTGTGGGTAGTTTTCTACATTAGGGTCCCGTTTGGAGGTCCTTATTATAAAGGTGCCGTACTGTATTGGGGACTTAAAAAAGGACCCAGAACTACCCCTGTGGAGGCTGTAGGAGGCTGGCAGTACAAACGATCGCAACCAAGAAGCATGTAGTTGCTCAGCATCAAGATCTTCTCCGCCTGCTGATTCCGCTCAGAGTTCACGTTGGCAATCATGTCCTGAGTACAACATGATAACATGAGCTGCACATGGGAGATGAAAGAATGCATCCTTTCTGAATAGTAGGACCCCCAACAAAAGGACCCCGACGGAGGCTCTACGAGCAAAGCGGTTGCTTTCGATAAACGTTCGTGAGTGGGTGGGGGGCTGCTCGCCTTGAGAGCTCCATGGTTGGGTCCGCTGTTTGCTGAAACTCCCACTTGCAGCCAAGGCTCAGTCAGATACCCCATCACCGTGGCGAAGACCACGGTTGCGATAAGGAGGAGCAAGAGCGAGAAGCAAATCTCTCCGAGGTTTACCTGCACTGGCTTTCATCAAGGAAGAACACCAAAACCCTAAACTTCTACTGTGCAGGTCTCATGCTGGGAACCGACTGTCGGGGCTCTGTCGGGCAGCCTTCAAAGTGACATTCAAAGTTGGTGTTGTTTATTGTCATACCAATGGTGGTGAGGATGGTGCTGATGCTGGTGCTGGTGCTGGTGCTGGTGCTGGTGCTGTTGGTTGGGTGGTGCTGGCGGTGCTGGTGGTGATGTTGGGGCTGGTGCTGGTGTTGGTGCTGGTGCTGCTGGTGCTGCTGGTGCTGCTGGTGCTGCTGGTGCTGCTGGTGCTGCCGGTGGTGCTCTGGTGCTGGTGCTGGTGGTGGCGATGGCGGTGCGGGGCGAGGGTGGTTGCGGGGACGGCGGGGGCGGAGGCGGGTTTGGTGATCATCACGATGCTTATAGTACTTCACATGGTACTACTTTGGCAAGTCAAGCTTCAGGGGTGATGTCACCATATCCAACGGTTGTCATCGTCGTCAGCGTGTAGTACCTTGAGCTTGCTATCAAACTTGCACGCCTCATATGCAGCTGACTGTTGGGAATGTTGCCAAACCTTCGAACTGCAGCCGTGTGTCAACGAGTAAACGTAGCCCTCCGACACCGAAAAGTCCAACGGAAGGTGCTTCGTTACCCATGTCTGCCCAACGCCACTTCTGCTCCCGATGCCTCACAAAGAATGAGGCTGTTAAGCTCGCGAACATAATCGAACCGAGCTGCTCATTGAACATGCTGCTCTCGGTTGGGCTCGCAACACTTAAAATCTGATAATTGTGAACGCTGGCACAGCCACTCTGAACTGATCTTTCCGGGGCACCGGTGCGATAAATCTTGGCAACGAAGTGCTACGAGTCTGCTTTGTTGCGATCTCTCTTCACGGGGTTTACACAGTTACATCTTGCCGCCACCAGCGCAGTTGCACTTCCGAGTAATGTGGTGGCAGATCACGTCGCAGTCTAGAGTTTGGAGGATTTCGAGCGGAAGGCGCGTTCGGTACGAGTTGTACCATTGCTGCTGGTTACATGCTTGGCCTCGCTGTTGCTGCACAAGTGTTGCCGTGCAGTTCCGTCCAACTCGTCTCCCACTCACTTCTGTTTCCGGATGGGTGCTTCACAAATGCTTCTGGTGAGTTTGCTGTCACGCGAATACACAGGAAACAGAACCACACACGCGATTGTAGCTCGGGCCCGTGTACTGTGACACTCGTGTCGAATCCTTCTGCCCACACAAGTAGCAGCAAAACGTGTTAAAGCGCCCAACATGTCCGGGAGAACGCAATTGTTAACAAGTTCAGTACTGTCGCACATTTCTGTGATGTGATGTTGCGAAGGCGCAAGCGCAAGGTTTCGCGGGTGCTCTTTGGAATTTGCGGTTGGCTTTGGCCTCCTGCTCCTACACCGACGTTGCTAGCTGATGGTAACGGGAATCAAACGACGTTGCGTCCTTTAGCCACAGAACACCAAGGATCCTAGACCCAAGAGTGCTGCCACCAACCACAGCTGACTCTTGTTATCCAGGCTTCCCCTAAGAAGTGGGCATCTGGAGCCCCGAAGATCAACAGAACCAGCCAAGCCACAGAACCAGGCGCAAGCTGCCCAGTGCGTCACGGCACACAGAATGAAGAGGAGCCGCAAGATCCCGCTGGCAAACATCAGAGTTGGTCGAATTTCAATGTACATCTTCACGCCTCGGCCACTGCTTCTATGGAACACGAACTGCTCACCGGGCTGATAACCAGCAAAGCATCTCTCATTGAAGATGTCCACACGGAGGAATCTCAACAGGCGCATCACACGCACCAGCCGCAACATCTTGAAAAGTTGAGCCGACCTCGGGTCTCACATTTGGGTGTAAGCACTTAAGCCTCAGGGTTGAGGGTTTAGGGCTTAGGGGTTTTGGGTGTGGGGTTGAAGGTTTAGGGTTGAAGGTTTAGGGTTTAGGGCAGCAAGGGCTTTAGGCCTCTAAACCCTAACATGCCAGGGCGCTGGACGTCCCAAGGCACCTTGCTGTTCACCAGCTCCCACGGAATCCCTGCCAGCACCTGACCAAAGCCGGGCTCGGCCTCTTCGGGTGGTTTCGATACAATTAAGGGACAATAGGAGGGACCCCTAGAAGGGACCCCTAATCCTAATACCCTACATAACCATTATTTCGCCCTTATATAGTCTCTTAAAGCCCCTATATAACCCCAAGGGTCCCTTTAAGGGTCTCTCCTTTAGTCCCTTGATACAAGGATTCTAGATTATGTGGGGTCCATCTGTCTTTGATACCGGCGCCTCCGAACCCTATGAGTCCTATGAGCCTATGACCCTAGACCCCGTAGCCTAAAGAATTCTGTTTCAATATGTTGAGATGTACAATCGCCGAATCCTCAGATTCTGTCTAGGCGCGTCCAGGAAGAGCCAGCGCCGGCTGTAGATTTTGGCGATTTGCTTCGGCTCTGCAATCAGACTTCCTGATGGAGTTCCTGTGTCAGGTTGAGCTGGCTGAGAGTGCTTGGTGGGTGTTTTTTTTGCGGGTTTTTTTAGAGTTGAAGGTTGCTGGGGCTTTTAAGGGCTTGTTCGAGGTGTATTAAGTATTTAAGGGTTTAGGGTACAGGCAGGTTGCGCTATACGTCCCCTAACCAGAGCTGCCAAGCTTCTGATGGCTGTTATATAGGACATGAAGATGTCGAGGATGAAGTACGCATCCAGCGCGGCGGCCAAAGCGAAAAACACCCCAACAAACCTTGCAGACATGGACTCTGCTGGATTTCATATATATATATATGTATGTATATATATATATATTTGTATGTATATATATATATGTATATGTATATATATATATGTATGTAAATATATATATGTATAGAAGCTGCTTTTTCACACCGGCGGAGCGCAGGTTTCGCAAGCTCCACAGTGCCCTGCCCAGGTACTACCCTGACTGCTTCACTGAAGGTGGGTCCGTCAGGAATTGGGGCCCAGGCTGAAAGTCAAAGGCCAAGTACACTGGCAGAGCATAGGTCTCATAGCCTGA